TTGAACACGGATATCAAGGACGCGAGCGCCAATTACTAGTTGTTCATAAATGGACAGAGATTGACATTGAGCAAAAGGGCGAGATATGAATGGGATGCCTATATTGTTAGTTGCTGAATCATGTGTACCTGCAGAGGCGGATGGAATACTTAATTAATTGGTTTAATTGAATTCAGTATTTTCGATACATAGCAGACATATATATGTAGAAGAGGCAGCCCATGCACGAAGCATCCCAATTCACGTAGGATCGGAGAAGGGCCGCACCCAAGGGATAATGTAGGTAGTCTACCCTGATGCATGCATCAGTAGCTGATTCTATGGCTCGAACCCATGACCTATAAGTCACACGGAGACATATGCATAGAAAATCATCAAAATTTTAATAAATATTTTCAAAAGTGCAACGAATTCATACTAAGAACCTCAAGGTTAAAACTAATTAAATTTAAATTCTGAATCCGCCGTTAGGTACCTGGCCAAACAATCTTGTTGACATGGAGTTTCTCAGGGATAAGTGCTGACATCCAATTTTTTCTGTCTTGTACATGATAATCACAACCAGGAAAGTTGCATCCATTTTTCTCCTTGAGATCATACAAGATTTTCTTCTGAGTATGAATAGATTTTCGTCTTTCCACCTGTTTACTCACCTCAGCACCCATTTTCAGAATAAACCAAGAAGAAGAAGAAACAATTAAGCACTCCCTCTTCTTTTTGTTTTGCTTTCCTTCTTCTCTTTCTTAGCACATCAAAAAGATCTGTTGATATATGCATTTTTAATGCTTTTCTTGTTTTCACTCTGCTGTAAATACTTTCTTCAATTAATTATGACAAAGAAAGTGAATCTTGGAGCAACGGTCAAATTGTCTTCGTGTGACCTATAGGTTACGGGTTTGAGCTGTAAAATCAGTCATTGATGCTTGCATCAGGACAGGCTGCCCACATCATATTCCTTAAAGTGCGGCCCTTTTCCGGACCTTGCGTGAACGCGAGATACTTTGTGCACCGAACTCTTTTTTAATTAATTATGACAAAGAGGGACAAACTTCCTTTTAGATATTTTATTCGTTTCAACATACTATCTGGACATGGTTTCTTGGGGTAGGTAGCCTTGTAGGGATGGAAATAGACTTGCGGTATTAGAAAGCAGTTTTGGTGATAATGGGGGTCCGCCTTTGCTTGAATTATTGGTTTTTGGTAAAGAGTGATAATTGCTATTTTATCTATCATGTGGCTATCATAATCCTTATTTAATTTGTTGGTTTGAATTTAATTTAATTTGTTGGTAACATCTGTCATATCAACGTCAAGATCAATACGATGGTGTAGTTGGTACAAAATGAAATACAAAATAGTCCAAAGGAGCAAGACTAATTATTCATCTAAAGTGGCAAGGTTGATTATTCAATATTGATCCAAGGTGTACTAATCATATTTGTGGAGAAGTGCCAAATCAACAAGATTTGTAAACTGCTGATGATATGGCTGATGATATGAAACTATACCCTGCTTGGACGCACGGCGGATCTATCGGGGCAAGAGTCAGAATTTTCGTTAGGTGCTGTTAAAATATATAAAAGTAAGCATATCAGAAAATTAAGGGGAGTCAATACATAATATATATATATATATATATATATATTCTTTTTAGCTAGCTACACAGTGTATTTTTCCCACGAAGGGGTGGTATTTGACATTCCTTCTTGTAAGGTGGCTTCGCCACTGGGATGTACTACTATAGTTACAGGTTCAATTTATCTATAACTTTTGAAGTAGAGCATAAATTTATGTGTAAACTTTATTAAAATTGCAATAGATAGTAGATATAAACTCACAATATTAAAAATAAAGTAATAAATTTAATGCTAAAAACCTTAGAGGTTGAACCTATAGAATTTAAATCTTGGATCCGCCTCCGCTTAGAGTTAGAAGACTTAGGGTTGTTTGGGTTGAAGACAAGTTATGCTGAGATTAGTTATACTGAGATTAGTTATGCTGCGATTAGTTATCCTGGTATTATTTTTTATTAACTGTTTGATATGTTGTATTAATTCTGGGATTGTCAATTTTCCTTCTTTATCATGGGATAATTTATCTTGCGATTACTATTCCACCATATGGTAGGTATAAGTTATCCCGATACTATTTTTAATTCTGAAATAACTAATCTCAGGCTTAATAACCAAACAAAAGATTAGGCGATAGTAAAAGTTTTATCCCATAATTATTTTTACTTAACAACCGTACCAAACGACCCATTAAAGAGCTAAAAATACCAAAAAAGATATTTTGCACATCAATCTAATCTTTCATACATCAATAGTTAGCTTGTCACCGCAATAAGATGCTCCTCTTAACAATATAATAATACAGTACGTGAAACGACCCAATTAGAAACAATACAATAGCATTGTCCGGAGCAAAAGTTCCCCTTTTGCTTAATTAAGCAACATGTTTCTAAGGATGTTAACGATGTGTTGAAGCAATTCAGGGTGTGTTTGGTACAATTTTCTCATTTTTGTTTGGTGGCACAAAATAGTTTGAAAAATATTTTTATATATATATATATATAATTGAGGGGAAAAGAGTGATGACGTGGCACTTCTCAAAAGCTAGAAATTCTATTTATCTTTTCCCACATTGTTTTGGATTATTCTCTTATTTTAGCCATTTACCTCATTAGTTAACCATTTAGCCAAACGTTTCATTGAAACGTCACTCACTTATTGAGTCACAATTAAAGCACCGTTTCAAATCTTCCCTCTACCTTTTCAATTATACGTTTGCTTTCCCTAAGAAAGCCAAAAAAACTAGATTTCCTTTTCTTCCCATTAATCTACTTAATTACGCTTCTTTTATTTTCTTCTTTCTCACACACAATTTCACATACATTTACATTTGTATATTAGAAAATACAGATGCATTACATAGCATCAGTGGAAGAAGGATCGAAGAAACAGAGCACAAGAAGAGTTAGTAAAGGTTGTTTGATGAATTAATTATAATGGAGCCCTTTTTTTAATGATACAATTCAGGAGAGGATTTGTAGGGGGGGAAAAATGAGAAATTGGAGCTTCGAGGCATGATGATGCACATGGGAAGACCGGCAAGAACAAGATTTTTGGTAAATAGTATTACAAGTAACCTTTTTTATTTTCTTCATGTTAAAGATCAGATTTCATTGCGTATAGATAAATTTCATGCAGTGACGGAGCCAGGATTTTCATTAAGGGGAGTCAAAATATAAAGAAACAAACTCACCAAGAAGTCAAGGGGTGTCATTATATAGTATATATACATATTTTTAAAAATATTACCGAGCTAAACAATATAATTTTCCGACGAAGGGGTATCGGTTGACATCCCTTGGGTGCAAGTGGCTCCGCCACTGATTTCATGATACTATAATTAACGTAAAAGAATTAAAGTAAACTCTTTTATAAGTATTCTCACATTTTCTAATTATTATATTATCCCTCAAATATTTTCTTTTATTCTATTTAGATTACTACAACTGAGCAATAGTAATGTGATTATATGAAGTTGTCATGATTTACTATTTACATGGTAACATCATAAGTTTGAACTGTTTTGTTACATATTTTTTAAAGTCTGTATTAATTATGTGAAAGGATAAATAATTTTGAAGTGTTAGTGGAACAGAAAGAAACAAGAACTCTAAAAGAATTCGAATAGACACTTTTTCCTCCATGCTTATATGTGAAACAAAAAAATTTATCTTGAAACAAAAGAAGCAATTTTGAATGTTTTCTCGGAGAAATAGGAGAAAATAAAACTTTCATAGACATGAAGAGGGTGAAGGGATGGGCCAAAGCTTCTATCTTTTTCAGTAACGTAGAAAAGAGGAAAGAAAAAGGAAGTAGCTATAGGAAAAGAAAGAAAAAGAATAAAAAATGATAGACGATACAAGAGATAGTATCATTTTTGCTCGGATGAGTACCTTATTAATTTAGGGGATGAATAATATCATTATTCAATTGGTAATATCATTATTTCTTTGTACTTTTTTTACTAATAATTCCTTTTTTTATTATTTTCTTTGTAATATTTTCCTTGTACATTTTAATTTTTCTTCATATACTTTTGCATATTGTATTTTGTGTGTTTCGAAAAGGTTTTAGATCAATAAGCAATTTCATAAAAGAAATGCTTGAAGTAATCCTACATTTATTTTGGTACGAGCTGAGAACACATATTATCTTATAATAGATTGACTTTATACATTTCCTTTGTCCCTTCATATTTTTTCCATCGTTTTATCATATATAATTATTATTTTTTTGGATTATTTTAGAATTTTTTTCACCCAATCTATTATTATCATGTAAACTACTACACCATTTTCATGATAGACAGACATAACACCAATTTTTCTTTCTCTATGATTTTCTACGGGTTTCTTTGATTTTTCACCGTCAAAAACCAAAATTCACCGTACAAGAAAAACACACAACGCTTCAAAAACAATCGTTTTTTTTATAACAGATTCTTTACTCTCTCTGTTTCTCTTCTTCCCTCTATCTATGTATTCATCGTCCTTTGTCTTTCTATTTTCCTATTGTCCTTTTTGTTTGCCTTTGCTGAAATTCCCTATACTCCTCCCTCTTTTCTCTTCTACACTGCTTTTGCTACACCTTTGTTGATTTACTTTAATTCCTTAGCTAATTTCTAAATTATTTCCTCACCGCCGTTTCCATTTGTGTTTTTCACTTACTTGCACTTTGATTTTTGATTATGCTCTGTCTTTGACTTACTCCTTCGCCAGCGCAGAAGAATTGGATAACGACTGCTTATTTTGACGCCCATGAAGCGTTCGTAAATATGCCCCATACTTGATCTTACCCACAGATTCAGAAAATGCTGCAAATTTAATCAACACTTGCCGGTCTGTAATCCTTTCAAAGTTAACCTTTACCAACTGCGCCTTCTTTGCATATCTTTTCAGCATTTTAAATGTTAGACCCTTGAAGTTTAACAATTCAGTTGAGCACATGATTTATTTTTCTTTTTACGTTGATAGATGGTAGTGCAAACGAACAAAAGGCCGTGAAAAGATTCAGTTTGGCCTTCTCCATTCGTATTTGAGGTACGTTCCGAAGATTCTTAACTATTATTATGCTTTTTGCACAATTGATAACCAAAAGTATGAAGATTCTAATATACATTACTTTTTCAAAATTGATAACTAACGGTGTGCCTGATATGGAGTACCCGAATTTTACTTTACTGATACTTTAATGGTTAAAGAGTTCGTCAACGATGTTGATTATAGTTTACTGATATGGAGTTTAGACTATATTAAATTTTCATTGTAGCCTCATATATTGGTATTCAAACTCAAAGCATTGCGAATTAATTTTTAAAATAAGATCTTCTTGATGTAGACACTGAGACACGTAACTTAAAAGGTTAAAGGAAAAAAAATTCAAAGTCAGAGAGCATTGGTGGAGGTTATAAAATCAATAATACTCCAAAATAATCAAGAACCAAACAAAATCAACATTTTTCCTATAAAATCTACTCTGCTCTACCAAGGTTCTTTCCTTATTTTGATTACAACAATTTATTTTCCTGTCAAGAACACGCATTTGAACTAACTTGAAATCTGTAAGAAAAAATGCAATAAAAAACTTCTAAAACTTTTATAAGAAATTTAAACCTAAATGCATGGGAAATATTTTGTATCTAAGAGAACCTTTTTACTTTGCAGAGAACCAATAACATTTCCAAATGAGTATTAAGGCTAGAATATCGGATATGAAGTAATACAGATAATCATGACATAATTTTATGCGGCATAATTGATTGCTTAATTGGTCTACTGTAAATTGATTGTTATTTATCCCTAATCAGTAGCAATTTTTTTACCTTCTTAACTCAACTTGATAAAGATTTATCATATATGTGTATATAATATATTTATGGGTGAAGAAAATTAAGGAGGAAGAAAACTAACTACCCTGCAATGAATATCCATATAAATAGCAAATTGGAAAACAACTGAAGGAAAAACCAATGAAGATTAAGACTCACCAACGGTTGTAGCAGCGATGAAGGGATGAGCGAAGGTAGTTAAAATACTAAATCGACATCAAAGAAATAGTGCTAGAAATAAGAGAGGAAAAAAAAAGCACAAAAGCCAGAGAAGAAGATGCTCACAAAAATGCACATATGAGGCGATAGGGAGAGTTAAGTGCAATCACTCATTATTAACGGTTAGGGAATATTTTTTTATTTTATTTAATAGTGATGACTGATGACCATTGAACTTATTTTTATGTCTATAAATGTTGATTATAGTTTACTGATATGGAGTTTAAACTATATTAGATTTTCATTGTAACCTCAGATATTAGTACCGGATAGATCCTGGTACGTATTATTTTCGTTTTATTATATAGAATTCTTGCTATAGTAGTATTATTATACCGTTATCCTCTGTTGTAAAACCCAAAAGCCTCATTAACTCTGACTGTTTCTTGGTGATGTTTAAATGGATCTTCCGCTCATCCATTCTTCTTCTTAAAGTCTGAATGTGTTTTGTTCAATCTGTCATTTTGTTGACAGGTTAGATTATCCTCTCGCCCGACTAGGTATCTGGGACGTGACGTTGCAGCTCTTTAAGATGTTGCCATTCAGGTAGTCATTTCTTTGGCTTAAAATTTTATTTTCAGTCACAAATGTGTTTAATATTTTGTTAGGTGATTTAGCAAATATTAGTTCTTCCTTTTCCCTTGTTGAGTTTCCTTTCACTCTATTTTTGACATGTAGGAAGCTTATTTAGGTAACCTTCAATTTCCAGATTGTGTCCATTATTTCAAAGAAAACTTGCAAAGGTTGTCTGGCATAAATTACGCCCCGATAAAGATACGAAAAAGACGTTGAATCGTGTATTTTTTCTTGGGTCTTATATAGCGGTTCTATATTAAAATTTACTACACTCTTTCTAATTGAAAAATGAAACTCTACTTGCGTTGTGTATTGTGTATAATTTTAAACCATAAAGACACTGGACATTTACATCATTCTATTGGAGAATGAGGCCGGTAATGTGCTTAGTTGTATGGTTCTCCCTTATAATTGAGTACCTCCGATTTAACACGAAACAGATTGTTTAATTGCCAAGAGGTTAGTGTATTCATCTTCTCGAGTTATCCTTCAGTTCTAGCATTTTACTCCCTAAAGACGATTGCGCTCATTTGAGACGACACAAGTAGAGCTATCACAAAATTATCATGGATGCTTACGGGAAATGTAGGATCTTCCTCCCTTAAGTTTTAGTTGTTGACTATGAAATTTTTGTACATAAAGGAAGTCAGTAATGTTTACATTATCTTTGCATGTTGAATTTGATTAAAATTTGTCAATAATTTATATACAAATATAAAGCTAAAAAAATAAAATCTGATGTGGAACCTCCCATGCTCAGGGATGTACGATTTATCTCTTTTCTTCTTTTTTTGGAAATTTTCCTGTCTACATGATTGTTAAATAAATCCACAAGAATAAACACATCACTTTTGAATTACTGTATAATTTTTTTTTCTTTTTTATGTTTATTCGATCTGGTGATTTATACACAGTTTACTTGCCTTGCAGTTTATGCAGTAGCGCAGAGATGTCATGACCCGAAATTTTCCACCGACGGGACCGTGATGGCGCCTAATATTTCACTTGCTAGGCAATCCAACATTAGAGAATCATTAAACCAATTCCTTATTCACATTCAGTAATTAACAATAATTAACTAAGATGAAATATAATAAGTGTGGAATATTATAAAACTGTATTAATTACTGTCACCCGAATCTGGAGTCACAATTCACAAGCATTCTAGAATTTGCTGCAAGTAATAGTCTGAAAGAAATACAACTGTCTGAATGAAAGAAAACAGTAGGGCATAAAAGATAGACGGGGACTTCAAGGTCTGTGAACACCGATAGATCAACCTTGAGTCTCCGGACAGTGGACCAATAACAAAATCTCGATCAACCTGAGCCGGTATCAAAATCTACACAGAAAGTGCAGAGTGCAGCATCAGTACAACCGACCACATGTACTGGTAAGTGTCGAGCCTAACCTCGACGAAGTAGTGACGAGGCTAAGGCAAGGCACCTACAAATCAACCTGTACAATTTAACAATGTATATACAAATAACAGAAATGAAGAACTAAACAGGAATTGTCGGAAGGGGAACATACTGAGGGGAATACAAGATAAAGAACTACAACAGAATGATCACCTGAGCAGTCAATATACCATGAATCAATAGGAATAATGAATATATTAAGGAAAAATGCACGGCATCACCCTTCGTGCTTTTACTCTCAATCTCACCATAAAATTAATAGAAACGACACGACATCACCCTTCGTGCATTAACTCTCATATCATGGCACAGTATCACCCTTCGTGCATTAACACTCACAATATGGCACGACATCACCCTTCGTGCATTAACNNATTCCCTCAAGTCAGGGTTAGACACAATACTTACCTCGCTCCAAATGCCACTTAATTCTCAATCACAACTTTTCCTTTGAGATTTATCTCCAAACCACTCGTATCTATTCAAAAATGACTCAATAATATCAAATACTGCTAAAGGAATCAATTATATTGCATAAATTAAATTTCCCAAATTTTTCTCTAAAAAGTCAAAAAATCGACCCCGGGCCCGCTTGGTCAAAACCCAATGTTCGGACCAAAATTCATTTACACATTTATCCCCGAGCCCGAATATATAATTGGTTTTGGAATCCGACCTCAAATTGAGGTCTAAACCCCCCAAATTTCCGAAATTCCTAGTTTCTACCCTAACCCCTAATTCTACCATGAAAACTCTAGATTTTAGGTTGATAATTCAAGAAATGTAATGGGTAATTGAAAGAAAATGGTTTAGAATCACTTACCAACACTTTGGGGAAGAAAATGACTCTTGAAAATCGCCTCTGCCCGTTTAGTTCTTGAAAAATGTTGAAGAAATGGCTTAAACCCGTGTTTGATTCTGTTTTATGCATTGGGCGACAGTGTGCATCGCGTTCGCGAGGCCACTGTCGCATTCGCGAAGGGTACTAGCTGCCAACCCTTCGTGTTCGCGAGATCCTGCTCGCGTTCGCGATGGTTACTCCCCCTGGCCTTCTCGTTCGCGAGGCATTGCTCGCGTTCGCGATGAAGGAACGACCAACCCTCCCCCAGGTGTGCCTAACACTACGCGTTCGCGAGGAGCTAGTCGCGTTCGCGAAGGGTAACACCCTTATCGCTTCGCGTTCGCGAAGAAGAAAACTTCAACTGCCCAGTTTACTCTTCGCGTTCGCGAGAGTACCTTTGCGAACGCGAAGAAGGACATGCCAGAACACCTGCTGCAGCAAAATACCAGATTTTCAAAGTCCAAAACATCCCGTGGCCTATCCGAAACTCACGCGAGCCCTCGAGGCTCCAAACCAAACATGCACACAAGTCTAAAAATATCATACGAACTTGCTCGTGCGATCAAATCGCCAAAATAACACCTAGAACTACGAATTTAGCACCGAATCAAATAAAATTCTCAAGAACACTTTAAAATTTTTATTTTCTTAGCTGGACGTTCGAATCACGTCAAATCCACTCCGTTTCTCACCAAATTTCACAGACAGGTCTTAAATATCATAATGAACCTGTACCGGGATCCGTAACCAAAATACGGACCCGATACTAACAATGCCAAATATCAATCAATTCTTAAAAACAAATAATTTCCAGACTTTTAATTTTCATAAAAAATTCATAACTCAAGTTAGGGACCTCCGAATATGATTCCGGGCATACGCCCAGGTCCCATAATTCGATACGGACCTACCGGGACCGTCAAAGCACGGATCCGGGCCCGTTTACCAAAAATATTGACCGAAGTCAACTAAATCAACTTTTAAGGCAAAAATTCATATTTTCATTAGTTTTCAATATAAAAGCTTTCTGAAAACCTGCCCGGACTGCACACGCAAATCGAGGAGGGTAAAAATGAGATTTTTAAAGCTTAAGAGCGCAGATTCGAGTTCTAAAACATAAGATGACCTTTTGGGTCATCACAAGAGATGAGCAACTTCGTCAAGGTTGAATTTCTCTTTGGATCAGTTTTTGTTTTCCTCAATTCTCAGTATATTTTTGTTTCCACATTATTACCTCCATTTTGTAGATGTAAAAAGTAAATTGTACTATCTAAGTTCTCAAATAAATTATAGTAAATATCTATCCTGAAATGCAAATTTGGTTCCTTACTTCTTTGATGAGAATCAAAATAAATGTGTTAGGAATTATGTTAAGATATGTTTTCCCTACAATTATAGAGAATTTTAGTTTTGTGATTTGTCTTTAACTATTACAATTATTACGTGCATTACCTTCAAAATTTGACTCGGATGACTGGATTAATTTCCCTGGTTTATAAACATATTTAATCTTATGTTTGATCGTAACATTAAGCCCCATTGCAACCACTAAAACTATTTCTAATTCATTTGTTTAATCAAATTTCTTACCGTCAAATGTTCACATTGATTTCCTCTTTCCAGGTTTTACCAATCACTCTTTACGATCAAGTTTTGCTTCTCTAAGTCAATAATGGCGACCAACACTAATCTCCTCATTGTGTGCTTTCTGATTTCAACTGCTCTTTAATTTTTATGATTGTTGCTTATCAGTTTTGGTCGCACTTATTTGTATAAAGTGATTAAGTTGTCGCTTTGAAAAAAGCTCTTCTCAACCTCAAAGGGTGTATCTTAATAATAGATTGGTGGACTTCAAAACCGTCAGATGACATCACTTGACAATTATGTGAAGTTCATGACAGGAAGTTTGAAAAATAAGATGTGCGCTAAATAAGATATAGAGGGATTGTATATTGTTGAGCTTATACAAACGTGTGTGGGCTTTCTGTTAAGCATGAACATGATTTTTTCAATCTACTTGTCTATTCATCAAATAAATAACACTTATTTTAATTTAAACAATACGTATGATCATGGATCATCAATAATGATACATCTAATGTGATTCCTACGACTTAATCTTCTTGTTTGATATATTTAAATCACTTCTCAATTCGTTTTTAACTTAGAAAATGATTGTGATGGAGAAATTGTTTAAGAAGGCTGAATGCTTTTTTGACCTCTATTTATAGTATAGGAGGTAATATGAATCATCTATTCTGCTCTATTGGGCTTATTTCGTAAATAATTAGTCTTTTAATTATAAAGCAGTTAAAGATACTCCAAAACTAAGGTTCTCTAAATCTTATATTTCTCGGTACAACTTTCGGACTAAAAATGGGAGTCCGCTGTGCAAAATATCCCCGTTCATGCAGGGTCATCCAAGGGGTACAAATCTCATACGACAACAACATCAACCCAGTATAATCGCACAAGTGGGTATGGGGAGGGTAGGATGTACGCAGCCTTACCTCTACCCTGGCAAGATAGAGAGACTGTTTCCGATTGAAAATCTCAGACTATACTTTTAAAATGCAAAGGGCATCTTCTTTTCTTTTCTTTAATTTCATTTTTCCGATTTGAAATGATTTTCTGCATTAAGATAGAAATTTAAAAGTCAATTAACAAACAACTTCTATACGTCTTTTATACTTTGTATATCAAGTATCACTTTAATTCAAAATGTATTTTTATGTATATAATTTTTGTATATTTATTTGTGAAGTGCCATCTTATTTTAAGATGTATTTTTAATATATATTTCAAATATATTGTATATGTCAAGTGCCATTTTAATTCAGAATGTATTTTTTATATATATGTTTTTGTATATTTATATGCCATCTTAATTAAATTTAAGATATATTTTTTTATGTATACTTCACATGTCTAAGTGTCATCTTAATTGAAGATGTATTTTTTATGTATATTTTTTTTGTATATTTTATATGTGTTAATTCAATATATATATTTTTTTATATACACTTTGCATATATTAACGTATATTATTATCGAAGTAAGATCTTTATGTTTAGAAAGGAAGAAAGAAGGAAGAGAAAAATTTAAGAAAGATAATTAAAAAGAAAATGAATGAAACAAATTTAGAAAATATATTGGCTTCTACATAAAATAAAATTAAGAAGATGAAGAAAAAGAAGAAAAGCTAATAGATAAAGAGAAAAAAAAGGTATGATTTTTGTACAAAGAATTATTGACTTTCCATTCAAATTGCTTATGTTTAGAGATTAATAATTAATATTCCTATTTTAATGGAACTGTGTGCTACAAATATAAATATTTTTCTGCCATAACTGTAATATTGGATTTCATGCTACGAATTTGTTATATTTCTTTTAAATTGTGACAGTTATGTAAAGTTCCCTTTGTTTTTGGGTTTCTTGCAATGATAGACGACCCACTAACACTTGGGCCAGAGCCCAAGGAATATATGGTGCAGCTCATCAAAATGAGATTGGTCTACTTATGACCCTTAACTTAGCTCAGGGAATTGCTACTGCTAAAACCTATTGGATTAATACAACCAGTGGGGATGCTATTGTTGAGTATAATGTTATAGTCCAGCATCATTTGATGCTTCGTCAATTTTGATTTTCATTTGTAATTTCCTCTTTCATTATATTCAACACTTCTATAGTTTCTTTGTTTATTCATTACAATAAAGATGTCCACTGAATATCGATGAAATAAAACCTTAATTATTT